CTCAAAAGTCTTTTAATTCAAACATCCAAGGGAATACTCGGGGCAGACGGAAACACAGGGTTTGACGTTCAACAGCGGATAGAACTTGGGACTGGGAACACTTTAAATACACAGAACAGGATGACAAGACACACCTGGGATCAATGGAAATAAAACGGGGAACACCTGGAATCAAATCAACCTAATCAAGACAGGAACATGAAACTAACCAAATATGGGCATAGGAAGGCACATGGGGAGCAAGACACACACAAAACACGGAACAAAGTCTGACATCCACCTTGCGCTGTTTACTCGCATATTCATATTAAATTGAGCAACTGTGTAGAATATTTGAACTTTTACCAATAAATAAAATAAAATACATTTACACTGCAGGACTATTTATTGCCAATAGCAATAATAAAAAAAAAAAAATAATAATACACTGTCACTGTCATGATTGTGCATAAATGACAAAACTTGATGTTGACCTTTATGCAAACATTATTTAAACATAGATTTCAATTTACCACAGTACAATTAGAAATAAAGTTAAAATATTTGTATTTGTTTTTTTTTATGCATTTAATTCAGTTAATTAAGAAAAGTAAAAACATTATGTCTATTCAAGCATTCAAGGCATGGAAGGCATTTGAGGCATGGAAGGTATGGAAGGCATTTTATGCATTGAAGGAATTTGATACATTGGAGACATGGAAGGCATTTGAGGCATGAAGACATTCAAGGCATTTCAGGTGTCCAAACCATTTCAGGTTTTTGAGGAGTTTCAGATGTTTGAGGCATTTCAGGTGTTCCAAGGCATTTCAGACTTTATAGGCATTCGAGTCATTTTGGAGCATCCAAAGCAATTCAGGCATTCTAAGCATTTTAGGCATTCAAAAAGGCATCCGAGGCATTTTGGGCATCCGAGGCATTTTGGGCATCCGAGGCATTTCGGGCATCCGAGGCATTTTGGGCATCCGAGGCATTTTGGGCATCCGAGGCATTTTGGGCATCCGAGGCATTTTGGGCATCCGAGGCATTTTGGGCATCCGAGGCATTTTGGGCATCCGAGGCATTTTGGGCATCCGAGGCATTTTGGGCATCCGAGGCATTTTGGGCATCCGAGGCATTTTGGGCATCCGAGGCATTTTGGGCATCCGAGGCATTTTGGGCATCCGAGGCATTTTGGGCATCCGAGGCATTTTGGGCATCCGAGGCATTTTCGGCATTCGAGGATATTCGGGCATTCGAGGATATTCAGGCATTTGAGGATATTCAGGCATTCGAGGATATTCGGGTATTCGAGGATATTCGGGTATTCGAGGATATTCGGGCATTCGAGGATATTCGGGCATTCGAGGTATTTGAGGCCTGGAAGACCACCTTGAATCTCGCGGTCTGGCCACCCACATCACGAGTTCAATCGCCCATATTTCAGAGAACTCAGCACAAAACTCTTGGCCATTGTCCAATTTGAATCTGCCGAGAGACAGTTGCATTAAAAATCATTAACTGTAATGTCTGAAAAATTAATGTATAGAGCTTCTTATATTCACTACAGTTTAAGGCATTTCATTGCATCATTGTGTGTCCTGTGTCTCCATTCCTCTCCAGGGACATCAATTCATTTATCTAGTAATTATTTCACAGACATACATTTTATGGCAACACTTCCCATATGGAAAATATATATGAATATCATTAAAATGTATAAGAAATATACATTCTAATTTAAAATTCTAGCTGCATATGAACATTTTCATTAAAAATTGTATTATCAGTCTAACAATCTGAACAATATTTTTTTTTTTTATCGTTTTGGGTATCTAAAATCCAAATGCTGAATGTGGATGTGTGTGTAGGTTGTCCTATAAACATGCAATGGATAAAAAATTATAAAAGTCATTCTGGGAAGCATTACTTTAAATTTCCCTGTAACAGTTAGATTTGATTCATACATGCCTGTATGTACAAGTTTCAAACCACTTTAATAGTTCTAAATCTACAGACAGACAGATGTTACTTACACAAGAGCTTGGATTCTGCAGCCTCCGTTCAGGCCTTGTCTTCTGTAACTGGTCACTCTGTTTTTAATGGACAGACTAACTCTTTTGACATACCTCAGACAGCAGGGCTTATCTAAGAGACACATCACAAACACAACAAAACACTAAATGTACTGATATGCATTTACCCAAATCCACATGCAATACATCTACTTACAATGACAAGATGGAAAACCAACAGGTGCTCAAAGTGAAAGTGAATTTAGTGACTATTTAAAGTACATGCATGTTGCTAAGATTTACATTGCAAAGAAAACACAAAATGTTCAGTAACGGCAAGACTGCTTTTTAAAACATCATTAGAGAACATAGTCCGTTTTTTTATCATTAATATTTTTTTATTTTATAAGTGCTCTCCAATAAAGCATGAAGTATGTCATTTGATAATTTATATTCATTTAAACACTTTAATGGTTTATTTTTTAACTTCACCTTTATATTAAATATTTAAATTTTTTATATTGTAATCAATACATTGTGTTTATATTGTTCAGATATGTTTTTGTAGTTTAAAAAAAATATCTTTCATGCACCGACATTACTGTGATATATTTCAATCTCAAACACTCTTTCAATATCATTATGAGTTTCTTGCCAAAAGATTTGAATCTGCACTATTGTGCAACTTCCTACCTTTAATTAAACCCTTGAGCATTGCATCCACCCTCTCTATTAGAATTCGGACCCAATATTTTTGGGGGTTTGCACAAAACTTATGGTCACGATCCACTCTGAAGCTGCAGAGAGACAGTTGCATTAAACATCATGGACTATGATGTTTGAAAGAATCACAAATAAAAGCCTCTGATATTCACTGACAGGTTTTGCTTACACAACAGCAGGGATGTTGCAATGTCCATCCGGCTTTTGTATGCTGTAGCTAGTCACTCTGTTCCTTGTAGAGAATCTAACTCTATTGACATAATGCGTGCAGCAGTACTTATCTAGGAGACAAAACAAAGATGTTAATTAAACATTAACATGCAATGAGATGCAGTTTGAATTCAGTTTGAATTTAGTTTGTTTTAATTTTAGTTAAAATATTTGAAATGTAGTTTTTTTATTATTTACTTATTTTTGTAAAATGTCTATATCGTTTTTAATTTATTTCACCTTAGTTTTAGTTATTTTGATACATCAAGTTAAACTAAATGAAAATGAGAATGATTAAATAAAATGTTACATTTTTCAGTTAATCACTTATTTCAGTTAAAGTTTATTTTACTTCAAATATACGTTTTTTTATGTATATTAGTTTTTGTTTTAACTTATGCCAAAAAACTATTTGATTGCCCAGTATGTTCCAGTATGTTTTGTAAACTTAAACAATGTGATTTATTTAATAATTTTCTGCATAATGTAGCCTACAATAGCTGCAGCATCATCACATGTGGTGTTTACCTTGTGCCTTTTCAGGCGTTGGAAACCTTTCTGGTGGTCGAGGAATTTCAGGCTTTCTAGTAATTTCATGGATTTCAGGCGTTTGAGGCATTTCAGGTGTCCAAGGCATTTCAAACGTTTGATGCATTTCAGGCATTCGAGGCATTTCACAGGCTCGAGGCATTTCAGAAGTATAAGGCATTTCAGGCGTTCGAGGCATTTCAAAAATTTCAGGTGTTTGATGCATTTCAGGTATATCAGGAGTATGATGCATTTCAGACGTTCGAGGCATTTCAGGTGTTTGAGGCATTTTAGAAGTATGGGGCATTTCAGGAGTATGAGGCATTTCAGATGTTTGAGACATTTCAGATGTTTGAGGCATTTCAGACGTTTGAGGCATTTCAGGAGTATGAGGCATTTCAGATGTTTGAG